ATTATGTTCATTTTATTCTGTTGTCTGTGTATCTCCTACAATATCTTCCTCTGCCTGTAAGTGTAGAATTAAAATTCACCTCCTGTGCCAAGGTAGGAAGTAGCCTCCAGAAAGCTGGCTAAAAACCAAGTTATCTTACACACAAGCTTATATTTCTCTCACATTTTTCTTATAGCAATGATCCTATATTTAAAAACTATTCACAACTGTTTTCATCAAGCAGTCTGAAAGAGACTTCCTTGCACTACTCAAATTTAAAAACGGACCAAGATAGCACTACATCAAAAGAGAAAAGTCAGTAGAAATTCAGCTGCCAACTCAATGCCATCTTGTCTTCTGCGTCACTGGAGTCTGGGCTTCCGTCGAGTTTTAACTGAGGATTTCTGTGTACTTAGCACTGACCGTGCTGGACTCTATAGACACAAGACACACATGAAGCACAGGTCCTGTCCACAAGGAGCTTACAAGGCGCTTGGATAATTTTTTAAAAAACTACAACAGCTCTTAAAATTCATCTATTGTACAAATTATTTTATATGACAAGGTATTTCAGCTAGTAAAAAATAAAGAGAATAAAGAAATACTTTTATCCACTGGATGAGCCTGCAGATATTTTGAATTAACAAAACATCCAGTAAAGTCCAGATTAGTAAAAAATATGAGCACAAATATTTTTAAGACAGAAATTAAACATTTAAGTCGTCCCAGTAACTAAAATGTAACAAACAAGGTATATTTTATACATATCTTTCAGATGCCTTTGTAACAATGAATATCTGGATAAATTTCTTTTAAATGTGCTTCCAGCTACTGAGGATGATGAACAAAAATGACGTTGAAAAAAAAAGTTTTGCAAAGAATGTAACCTGAGCATATGTACCCTCATATTAGCCAGAAATAAATGAATGGAAAAAAAAAACTTTTTCCTTTAAATCGTTTATATCATCCCCATGACTTTTATTTCATTATTTAATTAATTTGTGAATGTTTTTATTGTAGATGGTAAAAAGACACACCAGTTCAACTCTGTCTGAATTTTCACGTGTGTTGTGGGCCACAGTCAACACCCACAGGACAAATATATATACACGTACGTGTAACGATAATGACCCTGCTTTTCTCTTCCCTCTTTGTAAGAATCTGGGTGGCGTCTGAAGGAAAACCAACCTTTACAACTTAATATCCCCCGTTCTCTTTGGCTGTAACATCTCAGCATGGCCTGGCATGGCCCTCACGTTGCACTGGCCCAGGCTGTCTTGGGAGCAGCGTAACTGGGGTTTTTGTTTGTTTATTTTCCCACTGGGTTGCCGAGTGGCAGAGAAAGCCCTGATGCTGTAACTGCATGGATGTTAGGGAGGGCGAGGCTTCGTTTCTTCCTGTGCAAAAGTCCTAGGTCTAGGATTACACAGCGTATATGAGATATAATATATCATGCTTATACGGCCTGCTTTTAAATCATCCTAATGTTACATATTTATTTGCGTATACATCCTGCAGAGCTTTACCGTGGTTACGATGATTATAATTAAACCATGGATTAAGCACCATTTCTCCACATGTAACACTTTCTGGCAGAGTGCCTAAGGAGCTTATTTTATTTTGATGTTTAGTTCTATCGTCATTATAATCTTTACCCATTACACAATGATGAGAATTTGTGTTTATTGAGGATAATAACAATGAAGATGAAGGTACTTATTAAAAGTCATGATCCAGAATATATATATTTGTTTTATTTTTCTTTGAGACAGAATCTCACTCTGTCACCCTGGGAAGAGTGCTGTGGCATCACTATAGTTCACAGTAACCTCAAACTCTTGGGCTCAAGTGATCCTCTTATCTCAGCCTCCTCAAGTAGCTGGAACTACAAGTACCACCATGCCTGGCTAGTTTTTTCTATTATTTATTTATTTTTAGTAAAGATGAGGTTTTTCTCTTGCTCAGGGTGGTCTTGGTCTCCTGAGCTCAAGCAATTCACCTGCCTCAGCCTCCCAGACTGCTATGATTACAGGCGTGAGCCACCATGCCTGGCCAATCCAGAATATTTAAATCCATCAATATATAATAGAACTTCTTATTTTCAGTGACGTTAGTATACGATGGATACATTTCTATGGACACTAAACAAAAGCACCTTCTGCATCTGCCACTGAATTTTGCTATGAACCTAAAACTGCTTTAGTGACTGACGTCTTGTAAAAACCTCATTCTAGGTATTTGAGACTGGCATACGCTTTTGCTACGTCAGAATTCAAATTGGGCAAAGTTCATTCCCTACTGTAAATTAAATACCTTTGCCAAAGAGTGATTATTTTTGAATTTTTTTTGATTAACATATCATGTATCACTCTCAAAAGAAGAGCTATGAGAAACATTATTGTATACAACTTTCTGTGAGTATTCTCCCTGGATGTAGGCGTTTTTAAATCAGTAAAGTTTAACATGAAATTTCCTGACTTGAACGACATGGAAGCAATTTCTGTCCCATTCACTTAGATTTTCAACTGATACTCTTGTTATCTACAGGTTGCCTTTGTTGATCATTTACTCCACTCTCCAGGTGTCTAACCCTGAAGCAAAGCCAAGACTCCCAGGAGGAAAATGTCAGGGACGTGTTCTACCCTCCATGAGTCAGAGTTTTCTTAAAGGAAAAAGACAAACCCAGTACAAATATTTTTAAAATAATACAATAATCATCAAAAATGAATACTATGTAACTTCAGAGTTCAGAAAAGAGTTAAGGAGAGAATGAAGATACTCAATTGTTAGGTATTAGGATGAAGTCAGGTCTGAATATGCAGGAGGTGGGTAGGGTTTTCCATGGGCAAAAATAACCATGAAGTATTATAAACAAGAATAGCACCAGACACGGTCAGGATGCCAGTTTATAGTGGGAATTGAGCCTCATGTAGTTGGAGGTATGTCTGAATAAAGAATTAATCAGTTAATGTACTTTATTAATAATCTATATTTTTATGTTTGTTTATATTCAGTATCATAATAACCCTAGAGGTAAGTATTATTATCTTCAGTTTATAAATTAACTTACTAAAATTCAATGAGATTTTCTCAATGTTACAGAGCTTGTGAGTGGCACAGTCAGATTTAAATCCAAGTTTGATTCCAGAACCTGCGGTGTGGCTGGGGCGCAGTGGGTGGCTCACGCCTGTAATCCTAGCATTCTGGGAGCCAAGGAGGGAGGATTGCTTGAGTTTGGGAGTTAGAGACCAGCCTGATCAACAGCAAGACCCCATTTCTATACTAAAAATATAAAAAATTAGCTGGGTGTTGTGGCACACACTTATAGTCCCAGTTACTTGGGAGGCTGAGGTGGGAGGATTGCTTGAACCCAGGAATTTGAGGTTGCTAAGAGTTAAGCTAATGCCACAGAAAAATTAAGAAAAACCCAAACAACATAACTCTATGCTGCTATTGCTATCTCACATTGTCTTATCAGCTGGAATATCACTGTAGAGCAAATCTCACACTGTAGGAAGAACAGTAAACCTGGAATTAAAACACACACACACACACACACACACACACTTGAATTCAGCCATACTATGCAGGGCAAGCCCTCTATAAACTGTACCATCTTTTGTAAAAATAAAATAATAGATGACAACTGATAACTACATAGCTGAGTGATGGACAGATAGGAGTGGCAGGAGCACAGACACGGTGTTGGCAAATAAAACTTACTAGGTTTCAGCCTGAATAAAGGTATTGGGTATAACGTTAGCTTTGCGCTAAGATCATTTCAAATGTAGGTTTGAAAGAAAATAAGTGTAGTTAGTTTATAGCTAACACAGTGGTTCTGCTAGTTTATCAACTATTGGTTGAAACTAGATGAGAGGCATGACAGTTTAGTCACAGTGCAGGATCTTATGGTTAAACTGCTGATGCTCTGTTTTCATCTCTACCGAAGCTGTGTGCGTGGGTGATGACGTGGCCCTTCACACAGTCCCCAGGGAGGCCACACTCAGAAAAAATGCATTTAGTTCGTGAGGAGAGGGGAGGGAGGGAGAGATGAGAAGAAAAGGCCAGAGCAAGAAATGGTGGTCAAGTTTAAAGGCAGGTCTGGACATTTCACCTGAAAGCATTAGATGATGCAGATGATTTTTTAAAAGTCCACAGCGTTTTTTATTTCAATACAGACAAAATACATCCCCTTATTTCATACAAAAGTAACAAAGTTTGATATCCAATATTTTTACCATTTATTAATTTTGCTTTTTTGTATGCTGCTGGAGAAGAAATTTTTAAAAGTCTTGAATTGATAGTGGTGAATCAGACGGTCAGGCTGGATTTTTTTATTGCTCTAACTGAACAGTTAATCATCTAGTTTAAAATTGTTTTTTTATTATGCTTCGAGGATGCCACTAGCTGCATTGTTCCTTTGTCTTTAAAAGCTTACAAAAACAACTAAGTAGATTCCTGAGTTAACCAGAATTGAGACAGGAGCTTTTCATTCTATGATTAGCCCACAGGACATGAGATCTCCGAACACAATCACAGATGTGGCATAAATACCCTCCGTCCCAGTACCCATCAGACTTCATGACAGATCGGCCTCTACATCATTAAATCTACGGCCTATTAATTGATTTCTTGCTGTCAATATGTTGACTTTTTTCACTGTCAAAAACTTACACTGATTTTTAAATCTGGTATTATTAACCGAAGCTATCATAAAAATATAAAGGTGTCCACATCAGTTAAGATTCAGGTAAATGTCTGAAGTTGGAGAAATCTCTTGGAACCTGGGTCTTTATTTTTCTCACTTTCTTCATCAATCATCATCCATAAAATTCTGCTCAACTTCTTAAATATGTATTCAGAATTGCATCAAAGAAGCCATTTTAATATCCAGAGGCATAGAGTATCATGATAACCCTGGTCTCCGAGGTTATTACTCACAAGAAACATCATTAAAATAAAAACAAAAACATGATAAAAAAAAAAAAGAGACAAAAAAAATGAAGAGACAATCCAAATCAAAATATAAAATCCTCCTTCTCCAGTGGAAAGAAACAATAAACTCAGGGAAGCCGGAATTGCAATGAAAAGTCCAACTTCATCCTTTCATTATCTGTTAGAATGGAAAGAGAAAGAGAGGTAACAATAAGACAAATTTTAAAAATATTTGTCTGTGATGTAAAGAGTAAGACATCTGTGAGAATTATTATTATTATTTTGAGACAGAGCCTCAAGCTGTCCTCCTGGATAGAGTGCCATGGCATCACAGCTCACAGCAACCTCCAACTTCTGGGCTCACACGAGTCTCCTGCCTCTGCCTCCCAAGTAGCTGGGACCACAGGCGCCCACCACAATGCCCGGCTATTTTTGGTTGCAGCTGTCGTTGTTTGGCGGGCCTGGGCTGGATTCGAACCCACCAGCTCAGGTGTATGTGGCTGGTGCCTTAGCCACTTGAGCCACAGGCTCTGAGCCTGTGAGAAGTATTTTTGCCTTAGACATTCAAAACATTCTTGTTGGAAGAAATTACATGTGTTTTATAAGTAAAAGCAATCGTAGGCACATCAAATGGCCAAGTAATCTCATCATAAAAACAAGCCCCAATTAGTGTATAACTATCACCCTAAAGGAAATAAATACAAGTTGAAATAGCTGGGAAATTAAAATGTTCTCCTATTAAAGCAGCAAAGCATTCTGTTTGTTTTTAAAAGATAATATACAGGGCAGCGCCTGTGGCTCAAGGAGTAGGGCGCCAGCCCCATATACTGGGAGTGAAAGGTTTGGATTCGGCCTGGGCCAAAACTGCAAAAAATAATAATAATAATAATATACAGTGTGGATAAGGGTGAAGCAAGTTTCATCACCTAGGGCTGATGAAATTTTAAGTCTCTGTTTGGCAAAACAGTCTGACTACTGCATCTTTAAAGAACATTAAAAATTATATATTATTTATTTGCTAAATTCTTATGGTAAAAAGAAATCACAAATATTTTAAAAATCTGCATTTTGGTCCTATATATAATTCAGTGCTATGCATTCAGGGTGGTGCCACATCTGTAAGTAAACTACAGTGTTGTTTTTGATGGATGATTGCGTAAATATTAAATAACTTTAAAGAGAATTTGAAAATTGGGCTTATTTATGTTAAGTAGAATAAGAACAATTTTCAAAAATGCATATTATAAAATTATTATAAGTATATACAATGATTTTTTTAAGTACCAAAAAAGAAAAAAGAAACACCTCCCCCCCCAAAAAAAACCCCACCAAAATGATGGCAGGCTTTTCCTGACCAAAGTTAGGTAAGCTGCTTTTATTTCTAATTTTCTTCATTTCCCAAAGCTTCTATATAGAACATTGCGTATTTTCTTATAAGGGTGAAAAAGTATAATAAGATTTACTTTAAAAATGTTAAATGCAATTAGAGTGAACTGTGCAGAAAAAAAGATGAGAACAAAATCATTTCCTTCCTCACCCCCTTCATTTGTTCCCAGGGAATCCGTGTTTGTAGCAGAGTGGTGTGGGGCTATGTTAGATCTCAGGGGAGAGATGTGGCACTGCTAAGGAGACTTGAGTAAAAATTATATTGGCCCTGTGATTTTTGAGCTGTTTTCTAGAATCAATCAGCTTGTTTTATCCTCTGGAAAAAGCGTAGCTGCACCCTACATCTCCACTGAAAAACGTATCCAGATCGTCCTGTGAAAAACAGATTTTCTCTCAGCTACCTCAACCATGGCCAAGGACGTCGGGCTGCTCGGGTGGCCACATCCAGGACCACAACTTGTACCCAATGTCTCCCAGAGAATTAGATACAATAAGGATGTTGATATTCCATTAAAATGAAGAGTTCAATTTATCTGCTAAGTCAAGTGTGTGCTCTCTTCGAAAAAATAACCAAAGCTGTACACATTCCTTCTTTTAAAAAAAGGTGACAAGTGCAATAATCTTCAAGAGACTTCATTCCATTAGCCCTACAGGTACTAGCAGAAATATTAAAAAGTGTTTGAAGGAGGAAACTAAGGCGTGAAGTGTGATGTGGCTGATCGCGCATCCCATTGATATTATGTTCTGCTTCCTAGAATGTTCAACCATGGAAGTGAATGTTGGTACAAAATAAATCTAACCAAAAGGACAGCCCAGAGTGTGCTGGTCACGTGGTGAACACGCTGGACTTGATGTCTAATTAAAACAGCAGTAGCTCAGCTGTAACGTGCTCTGGAGACCGTCCTCGTCATGAAAACTCAGCAGCAGGCACCTCCTTCATGGCCAGAGAGGTGTGAGTCACAAGACCAGCCTGGAGCCTGTCTCAGAAAGCTTTTAGTTGGAGGAGATTTCAGTAGAGTTTTATAAACAACACCAGCTCCTCTAAGGAGTTTAATTCTCCGTAATGAGATGCGTATACTAAATTTGCATTTTAATTCTTTAACTCTGCCTTCCTAGCAGGAACTCAGAAGAGAACAGAGGGGTGGGGGAAGGCTGTGCTGTAAGTCCAGGCGCTTCTGAATCTCACCTTTCCAAAGGGTCACTCCACATCAGGGTTGAGGAGCACTGGTGGGGCAGGGAGGTGGAGCTGGATGCATAGTTGTTTGAGTGGTACCTGATCTGTGAACAGACAGAGGTTTCAGTGGACGAATTATTGATTTTGACCCCTTTTGTCAGATGACACTTCCTTTAACATGTTGAAAGAAAAGAAAAACCGAAGCCCACACATCAACTCATAATGGCTGCAAAATTAAGTAAATACAGATTTTTTGTTTGTTTGTTTTTAATTTGTGACAGAGTTTCACTTTGTTGCCCTCGGTAGAGTGCTGTGGCTTTACAGCTCACAGCAACCTCAAACTCTTGGGCTCCAGTGATTCTCCTGCTTTAGCCTCCTGAGTAGCTGAGACTATAGGCACCTGCCACAGCACCCAGCTATTTTTTAGAGATGGGGTCTCGCTCTTCCTCAGGCTGGTCACAAACCTGTGAGCTCAGGGCAATCTACCTGCCTCGGCCTCCCAGAGTGCTGGGATTACAGGAGTGAGCCACTGTGCCTGGCCCAAATAAAGATGTTTAGATATTATCTTCTCAAGACCATCTCATTGCTACCTCTGTGCTTTGACCTACACTCATTTTCTCCCACACTGCTATGACAAACATTATATAAGAGCAGAGACTGTGTCCTACATGACCTCTAAGTCCCCAGAGAAGTTATCATAGCACTTGTTAAATGCTGAGTAAAAACTCCCTGACCTTAGAAGATAGGTGAAGGTGAATCTAATTAAAGCAAGCTCCAGCCAGTTGGATAAAGGCCAACATTCTTCACATGACCTCAAAAGCCTTGTTTAATCTGGCCGTACACTGCAATTCCAGCTTTGTTTCAAACCTTTTGCCCTTTCACTTTTATGTGTTTAGACCATATCCTCCATCTTTGAACTTCAGGAACAGTACCATCCTCCTTTCTACCTCAGGCCCTTTGCACATGCATTTTCTTCTGTCTGGAGTCTCTTCCATCTCTCCATTACCTGGATAACTGTCGTCCATCGTACAGGTCTCACCTGGTAAGTCACTTCCTCAGGGAACATCCTGTTCACTAGGACTGGTTCTCTACCTTATGGCATACACTATTTTTCTTTTCAGAAACACATATAGTTTGAAACTAACATTTGTCATTGTATCTAAGCAATAAGCTTCATGAGAACAGGGACCACGGCTGGCACAGAAGTCATGCTCAGTAAGCATTTGGGCATCAATAGATGAGCTGCATGATTGGTCCTGAGCTCATCCCTCTATGGCATTCTCTAAATTACAGCCTAACTTCACTGAATGTTACAGCTGAAAAAACATTTCTTTTTTATGTATTTCTTAGTCATTTTCCTTTAAGAAAAAAGATGAATGAAATATATTTATTATAAGAAATTGTTACAAGAAAAATAGAAAGAAATAAAATTCAGTGTGCCTCAGTCTTTTTTTCATTGGCTTCCTAATATGGTTTTTTCTCTTCAAAAATTTAATTAGGATCATCTTAAACAGCCCGGCCATGCTCAGTGGCCCAGCAATATATCAGTCATCCCATCAGACGTGGAGTTTTCCACTTCTTGGCTGTTTTGAGCAAATGAAGGATTTTGGTTTTAGAAAGGCAGTGCTGCTTGCGGAGTCATAAAATATAATAACACGTTTTCTGTGCAGTTAAAATTTGCACTATTTCAGAGCAAACAGAAAAAGTTCAGCGATGTTTTTCACAAAAATATTACGGCTCTAGAAGAGTGGTCAGACTGAGGGAGTAAGAAAAACAAGGTTTGCTATTTATTGCACGAGGCTTTCAGCGCCTTCTCTGTGCTCCTCTATGGGAAGATTCTCCATTCCCTAAAAACAGTCTGGCTGGGACAAGTCCTGCCCTGCTGACCGCTGACTCTTGCCTCCTTCTCCCCCGCTGCAGGGCCCCTGGGCGCTTGTTTAGAGAGGCTGCTCTCACCAAGTAAATGCCCTTCTGCTTGTGTTATTGGTTGGTTAAATTTTAGTAGCAGATGCAATTTGAATACGACATGCCTGCACAAGGTCAAACAGCTGGGAAAAACCAGACCCAGAGAAGTGACATACTGCGAGCTAAGTCTCCAAGAGCCAGGAGTTCAGAAACACAGGGTGCTCCTTACCCCACCGTCTGCAGAGCCCAGAGGATGCTGAGGGCTGCTCCGTGCGATTCTGTGAGGGTAAATACACTGTCCTGCAGAAAGTACAACACCAGGAGCGGACCCTGACGTGGCCTGTGGACTGTGTCAATATAGGTTCATCAATTATAATGACACCCACTCATGCTGGCAATGGGGGGCTGTGCATGTGCGGGGGCGCATGGGAAAGCTCAAATCATCTGCTTGATTCTGCCCTGCACTACTCTAAAAAACAGGTCCCATTTTTAAAAAATAATTGTCTGTTGCACATATGATTTATAAAGCCTTCGTTCCACTGTTTCTGACCCAAGGATTTCTTCTCTCGAATACATACTTCACATTGTTTCCAAGGGAAACCTCAGCAGATCGTAAATATCTTTGAAAGTTTTCCCATTGCTGAAGAATAAAGCTGCCCGTCTGTGGGAGATGCCAAGCTCCTTTGCATTTAATTCCATTTAATGTTTAATCCCTTTACACGCTGACTTTCACTCATACCAGGCCCGGCCTTTCTTCAGAGTGTAGGGAGGCCACGTCCTCAGGGGCCTCATCCTCACCGCAGCCCTCACCACCATGAGGCTTTTCCTTCATGCTGCCCAAGGTCTTCCTGCCCCAAATAAATCCTTCCTTCCTCCTGCTTCAACTAAGTTCACAACTCTCCTACGTTCTCCACACATTGCCAGATACATGTGACAAGCCTGCTGGCCAAGTTTGTGTTTTCTTTGGATATAAGAAGCCAGGAGTATCAGTACAAGTGATTTTATTTACAAAGCCATAACTCAGGATATTTTAAAAGAATTGAGTTAAGATAGGGCCAACCATGTGTGTCTGTGTGGGGGGAGTCAGAGTGGTCTGGCCATTTAAATTTAACTCTTGAACAAAATTATTTCCTCAAGCAATTTTGGCAAGAAGATTGATAGGTGAGTGGTCACCCCACAGACACCCGAACACAGCCCACTTGTTTGGCCTTGTTTGCTGAGTTTGCGGGGAGCCTGTGGCTGTTTTTGTTTAGGCTGAGGCTGCCTGGTCTGCAGCGCCACGTACCTCTGTGTGCTGAGTGCCGAGCTAGTCAGTCTGTGAGTTCCCTTCCAGAATGACTCAGCTACACCACAAGGCTAGAGCTCCTATCCACTATGCCTTCAGATTTCACTTTCAAATTCAATAGAGCCTCTAGCAGTTGACGACCCAAAGGACTGTGTCAAACTGGTCAACAGACGGAGGTGGCCAACCTAAGGAGGTAGGCCTGTTTTTCTGATCATACATGTGGTGCGTGTCTGGTCTATGAAAATTACGTCCACCTAAGGAGGTGGTCAGTGTAGGGAGGCAGGCAGGTGTGGAGGTTCTCCTGTATGTGCAGACTTCCCTTGTCTTGGAAAACAAAATACACACAAACCCCTGTGCTAGACCATCCCAGCCCCTGAGTGCTGGCAAGCTCGTCCCAGGCACCACACCAGCTGTTCTCAGGAGGGTGGTGAGCCCTGCGGGAGGAAATAGAACTGCACGTTTTAAAGCTGAAAGGAGCATTGGAGATCACGTAATCCAACGCGCTCCTTTTCAGAGGAGGACGTGAGGCCAAGTTTTCTTTTCCATGGCCACAGAGCTACTTTGCGGCAAAGCCCTGTCTGGAATCCAGCTCCCTATTTCCCTTCCATCGCTGGGCCCAAGAATAGATTTGCAGATTGTATCTGCAGTAAACACCCCAGAGTGTATGTTATTTAACAAATGCTTGTTTCACAGAAAAGAAACGTGTGGGGTGGCACCTGTGGCTCAAAGGAGTAGGGCGCCAGCTCCATATGCTGGAGGTGGCAGGTTCAAACCCAGTCCCAGCCAAAAACAAACAAACAACAAAAAAAAAAAAAAAAAAAAAAAGAAAGAAAGAAAGAAAAAAAGAAAAGAAAAGAAACGCGTAACTGAGCAGGGTGAAAACGGCAATGCCTGACCTGGCCGGTGTGCTGCTCACAGAGCTCGCTGCACAGAGATTTTTATGTTTTTGTTTGTTGATGGGCTGTTGGTGACTACACTAGAGCTTAATGACCACATGCTGTCGTAATGAACGTTTTCTACTTGAGTAGATAGTATCTCCATTTTTCAGGTAACAAAAAAATAAATAAATGAAACCCAGCAAGATACATAACTTGCTCAAGTCTTGAACTAGAACCTGCACTAGAAACCAGGCATTTGGCACCTAATTCATTTTTTAACTGTAAAAAGATCAGTTTGGGGGGAGGAAAAAAACAAATTGGTTAAGGGGCGGCACCTGTGGCTCAGTGAGTGGGGCGCCAGCCCCATGTACTGAGGGTGGCGGGTTCAGACTCGGCCCCGGCCAAACTGCAACAAAAAACAGCCAGGTGTTGTGGCGGGCACCTGTAGTCCTAGCTACTTGGGAGGCTGAGGCAGGAGAATCACCTGAACCTGGGAGTTGGAGGTTGCTGTGAGCTGTGACGCCACTAGGGCAATAAAGTGAGACTCTGTCTCTAAAAAAAAAAAAATGAATTGGTTAATTATTCTATACAGAGGATGAAGATAGATAAGTCTGCTCAGCAAAACTCTAAGGCAACGGGCACAGCTGGCACGCCCTCTGTCACTGTCCTGCACTGGCGGCCTTGTGGGGGCCCCGTCATCCTCCTCCCAGCTGCTCTATCGCACTGGCAGGAAGAAACAGTTTCCCCTCCTCCTCTCCAAGGTTTCCTTCCCTCTTATCTCTCTCCTCAGGGTCCAAACCGCCCAGAGAAATAAGTGGGCAGCCGTCATCTCCTTCTAAAGATCATCTCACGGCTCTGCCCCAGACCCTGAGCTACTCCAAGTATATTAAAAGCTCTAAGTCTTTACAACCTTCTCCTCAGTATAATTTCATCTGCTGGGATTTCTACAGCCTCACAGTCCAAAGAGGGTAAACTGCTACTAGGCTTTGTGGCCTCTGCATTCTGTTTGACTGTTGGTCTTTTAAGGGGGTTCTGT